ACGGCATCCTTATATCCTTTCGGAACGGAACCGGTGAGGGCGAGTATAGGAACGTAGGTGGCGAACGCTTTCGCTGGTCTTACCCATTCGGCGTCAGCTAATTCAGGAACGGTAGTATCATCAACGAGATAAGTCGCTGGACTTGCAGGTTCGGGTGTCGTGTGGTTAGTGTCATCCTGCGAGGTTGTAGGTTCCTTTGCAGGGAAAACGACATCACTGGTGACAATTATTTTATCAGTTGTAGGACTCCAGAGGCGGTAGATTGAGTTACCACGGAATCCTATAAGTTTAAAAATTTCTGCCCTAGCGGACAGCTTGTCAGTAGGTTTTTGAGATCCATGAAGGTGCGCGTAAACATCAACACCTAGCTCCCTAAAATGGCGAAGTTGGGGCGGGGCGTTGGTTAGTGCTGAGAATGGGACCGTATAGGGGCATCGCGCAGGTGCTTCGTCGGCGTTGTTGGTAGGCCAGTATTTCTCATTATACAGGGTGGTAGATGTTGGTGTGTTGTTGGTAATTGCAACCACCGTTTCGAGAACGTCTGCCCAGAACTTCTTCGGTATATTCATGCCTAAAAGCACTGCCCTTGCGCGTGTCATTATCGTACGGATTCCTCTCTCAGAAACACCATCTTGGTGGGGAGATTGGGGCGTAGTAGGTTCCCAGATAGTGCCATCTTTGGTCATCATTGTTGTCATCTTGTTAGATCGAAAGACACCATCGATATCAGTCCTAACTAGCGCCGGTGGCGTGAAGCCGAGATTTTTCATGAATTGGACCCAGTGAGCGTAAATTTCGACAGCTTGGTCCTTGGTATGTAAAAAATAGATCCACCTGTAGCGGGTGGCGTCATCGGTGATGAGCATATAATATTTGGTCCCTTGACGAGATTCGATAGGGTAATCGGACATGTCATCCAGCGTACGACCACCGCCAGCAAGGTCGATATGAACACGTTGCATTGCTCGCAACGCTCGTGGCATGGGAGTTTGCGAGAACTTGCGTGTCATGCCTGCTTTGACGCAGCTATCGCAGAAGAAGCCTGTTTTAGATCCTTTGATGCGGATGCCGGATGATGGGTCCTTCGCTAGTGCAATGATCGCGCCAGCGTGGATATGCCCTAGTGTGACGTGCCATTCCATGAGTGTTCTTGTCAGGGGGTTGCGATCGCTAGGTTGATCGTTAGGTTTCCCCGCGATTGTCGACATTGCGTCCCCGTAATTGTAAGATTTGGCCATAAAATGGACGGCCTGGGACGGGTGATGGACGTCTATTTGAGATTCTCGTTCTATTATCTTGTAGACCGATTCTTTGGACGTGCGAACAGCGGTGAAAGTTGGCACCGTTCGGGGCCCTTATTGTAAAATAGGAAGGAGTGGTATCTGATAGTTGGTATCTGAAGCCTTGATCTTTCTAGCTTCGCAAAGGATAGAAGGTTGACTGTTAGATTGGGGATCCAGTGGACGTAACCCACTGAGATATCCCCCCCTTCTGATTCTAGAAGGATATCACCTATCTCCTCAACCCGTCCTACGCCACCGTCCGCGGTAGTAATTTCTAAATCACCTTCGAACGACTTTGCGCGCACCAACGAGTGCCTTTCACCCGTCATATTGAAGCTTGCGCAGGTGTCGAGATACCAAGGTTTGGATGTTGTAGCGGACGACGTAGATAAAGCAATTGCTGCGTTGGCATTAGGTTGCGATGCAAGGAGATCTGGCGCTCTGGTGCCAGTAGGTTTGTCGTCATCCTTGTCCTTCTTCTTATCCTTTCCCTTCTTTTTGGCACCTTCAGTGTTGTCAGTGCCCTTATTATCCTTATTCTCTTTCCTCCACCACTCGGGCGCTTTGTCAGGGTTCAGATGATAGCAATTAGCCTTTATATGCCCTGGGACCTTGCAGTATCCGCACTTTGCGGTTGCGGCGGAAGTTGTGTTGTCATTATCATTGGTGGCCGCGTTGGCCTTTGGAGCTTTAGGGCGTCCAGTACCCTCTGATTTACTCATCCGGTGAGCAATTTGTTTTGTGAGATCGTTGATATCTAGGTTGACAATCGGACCCTGACCCGTCCCGTAGAACGTATCGAGGCGTGATTTAACATAGGTCCTCTGATAATCTCGGAGGCCGATAATAAAGAAATCATGGAGGTAGTTCTCACCACGGTCCTCCGTTAGTTGTCGCATGCGAGCAGACAGGTATTGATATCGGCGTACGTATGCCAGGTAATCACCGTCCTTGACATGCAAGTGGGTAAATTCTTTAAGGATGTTAATCCTTTCTTCCCCTAGGGATATCGCGTATACTGCGCTTACCTTGTTCCATAGGGCCGCCGCGTTGTCGGGTTGAATGGATCCCATGGTCAAACGGACAGAACCTACTAGGGATTGCAACATGCGACGGAAGAGAAGTTTTGAACGTATCACCCAATATCGCTGATCGAGCGATGATAAACCTTCAGGTGGTTCCTGTTGGTTCTTATTAAGAATATCTGCACCACCGATCACTTCTGCATCCGACAAGAACGCCATCTTCCACGTCTGGTAGTTGGTGCCATCGAACGTGGTGACGGACTTTGTGTTCAACGAGGCCTGCGCTTCCTTCTGGTATTCGCGAGCCAGCATGTTCGGATCTTCTTCTGGTATAGGGTTCGGAGGAGGTGGAGGTGGTGGAGGAGGTGGAGGAGGTGGCGGCGCGCGTGCTGATATCAGTCGCTCGCAGAGTGCAATGAGATCTGCTGCTGCCATGGTCACCATGCCGTTAGGATTCGGCGTAGGTATCGGCATAGGACTGGGCGTGCCATCCTCGGATTCCTCGCGTTCTGGCATCTTGCCAGTATCGTGTGCTGAGCCAGAGGTTGTCATATCTTCCTCTGCCATCGCGTATTCAGTTTGATCACCCTCCGCTTCTGAGCCGGATTCTTGCTCAGTAATAGGGGGGAAGGATTGGGGGACCCTTGATTGCGAACGTAGTGTCTTCTTACGTCCTGATATTGGGGTCGCAGGTAATCGAGAACCACTCATAATCAATCTGACTTAGGGAGGTTCTGAATGAAAATAAATAAATAAGTTTTTGATCCCTTCAAGATAGTAATGAAATCTCTGGAGCAGTCTCGACAGCAATTCCGTCAATTACACCACTTTTATAGGCAAAGAGCTCTCTTTTCAGGGGAATAATGTTTAACTCATCCAATATAACATCAGTCGCAGCGTATTCTAATCAAAACGTCTGTTTTTCTTAAAAATCTGCAATCCGGGCCATAACCTGTGGGATGGTTGATCTTCTCATTGTGCGATCGCTAGCTAACTATATAGGGGTAATCACGTGCGGTGGAGGGCCGCCTGGGCAACTAGTGCCCAACTGTATCAAATGTAGGATAGTTGAATTGTATTGGTGGAGCTATCTACAAAGAGCTTACCTAGTAATAGTGGTTTGTCACGTGATATAGGGAGATGTGAGAGGGTTTATCCTTGGTTTATTGTTATGATCTATCTACTCCGTACGGAGTACTGGCGAGTAATATATTGTGTGGGTCACGTGGGATAGGGCTCGTGTAGTAGCTCCAACAGGAGATCGCCACAGGCAGTAGCCGCAGCGGCCAACACCCCCCTTGAGATAACAAGAATCACGTACAAAACACTCAATTCACCAATATAGCTTGTCAAACACCAATTACATATATAAAATTAATCATTCCTGATCTTTCCGCCTGTAAGTCTTAGCAAATTCCTGAAATGTTCAAATGCCACTGTGTTTAAAGGTTTCATGAATCCATCCGCTGCCATTTGATCTGTAGAAATGTATTTCAATTTGATAATGCTCTGATTCAACTGCCAATATGAAAAATGAAAACGCATGTCATTATACTTGCTTCGGGCTGTAATAACTGTCACCTTCATAAGGTTTATAGCACTCTTATTGTCAGCAAAGATGTAAATAAAAAACACAATAATAAAACTGAATTTCATCATAAAATTCTAGACTGTCTTATTAAAAGTTATATATTCAATTTCATTGAAGTTAAGAGATACACAGAGCTGCTTCACTAAATGTTATGAAATTGAATCATTTACAAATTTAAAAATATAACTGAATGTTGATTTTTTATCATCATTTAAAAAATTCTTTCAATCAGAATCTGTATAATCAATAAATAAATAAATGTCATCAGAGAAATCAGAGGTTTCTGTATCAGAGCATTTATAAAATATATTTATATTTGATATTTCTTTTAAATAACATATGATGTGCAATAGAGTCTTTCAACATTGATGTAGAGATAAGTTATAGAAATAATTATAAAAGTAATATGAAGTATGTATAAAAGATATTTAAAAAATAATAATCTTTATTATTTAAAGCTAATCACTGTAAAGGGCGTACATCGATTAACGATCTAGCACTATCCTAAATACAGATTACGAATTGATTAAAGAAAGAAAGAGAAAAGAGATCAGAAGGAAAGGTTGTACGAAGGGGGTTCTTATAGAGGGGAGATCGGGGCGGAAGAATATCAGAAGCCGCCCCGCAGTGGAGCACGAAGCGGAAGAACATTGAGGGTTACGCGGAAGAATCGTTAGAACTACGCGACTACGCGAGCGCGGAGCGTGAGGAACTACGCGGGCGCGGAGCGTGAGGCAGAAGGGGTTGGTTGCGAAGTTAACCACTAACGGGTGCTAACCCGTCATACAACAGTAACATCATATTCACTGTCTTTCCACTACAAGTTATTTATTATTATTATTATTCTTCCGTTATACTCGTATACAAGCAGTGCTTATAACGAGTCCTTGTGTAATATTAAATACAGTCAAGAGTTGGTTATACAGGAGGAATGCTTAGTGTTGAATGATGTCAAGAATATAACAAAAACATAGAATAATTAATGGAAAACAGAATTTAATACTTACAATATAGATTTTCAACTTAGAAACAATAAATTAAATCAGATAATAGATTTATCTGAAAGTATCTACTTGACAAGTTCACATTTTTTTATTTTAGAAGTTGAGAAATTGACTCTGAATGTAATGTTGTTCTTTTATAAGTTTCAAATTCATATGTCTTGAATTTTTACATTGAGATGTTATCTGATGATTGCATTATCCATTCAGTCACTGAGGCTTCAAGATAGTAAATCATCTGCAATATTGAAAATATTTTTAACTCTCTCATTATAAATCTTTCAAACAACACTAGAAATAAGATACAATGTTATTTTTTTTTTATGTTTATAATTATTACTTGTCATATCAGATGCATTAATAATTTTTTTGAAATGTTAGAGATTTTATAAAATCATACAAGATCTGAATTAAATCAGATTTTAAAATTATAAAGAAAATAATCACAGCAGCAATAATCATTACAATCATATAATCATTATATCTGATTGTTTCATCTTATACAATTTTCTCGAAATTCATATTATTGTAGATTATAACAGCTCAAAAGTCTTTGACAAACTGTTGAAATTTATTTTATCAATAAAATTAATCAAATGATTGATTC